ACTGTAGATACAAATGATAGAAATTAAATTCAGTAAAATCTCATTGTGAGAAGACAAACAATAACTAATGTATTATATTATTTGGTTGAGAGGCAGATAAAACATACAAGCTCGATATAATGGTACTGATGTTGGTGAAACTGATCTTTAGGTCAGACTAAGTGAAATGCACATCGACCGACGGTCATGACCTTTCACTTTCTTAACTCTTCTAACATGTATGGTATTTTCAAACCCTCCCACTAAGCCCTATTTAGAAAGACCATAGGAATTATGATGCAAGATCTAATTTTAGATTCTACACTGTTCCAGGTAAATTGCTGTCTATCCTTAAATTGACAGATTGCACACAGGCCATTAGACATAACCGGTGTTGCCTTTTCACTTAAGGATTACCAGTAAATAGCAAACAGTACCAACAAATATTGTAGTGAAGCAAAATGAAGTTACTCAGATGATGTTTTATCTTGAAGAGAATACATACCAGATCTCCAGCGACATCTCTAAATACACTTTGGTTGCCTGTAAAAATAATGAAATATGTGGTTATTGTACAGCAAAGGAGTTGAAGATTGTGGCTGGTCTATCAGCAGCCAAATATAATATATCCCAAACAAAACCAATGCAAAACAAAATAAAGTGGAAGGAGAGAGGGATGGTACCTTTTTTGGCATTGTTTGCATAATAATTGATAATAAAAGTAATGATTAACTTTGTAATGTTTTAGAATTGTATGATTAACCAACAAAAAAGTCTTTGTTATTGTGCTGGCATGCAAGCCTCCATAATAATGCAGTATACTGTATCTTTTGTCTTTGCAGTCGAGCATGGATTGGGCCACATATTTCTGACCGAACCTGACCTGTGCCAGAGAGTGTGATGTCAGAACCCAACCCGGACCAGGCAAGCTTATAGTATAATAATTTCTGAACCTGGCCCAGAGCCCAATGCGGCACAGTTTGTATTGTGTTTTTCCCCTTATCATTAAACAAAGCAGACATTTGCATGATCCAACTGTATAGCCTAATGTTTGACCTACGTGTTCAAACTCACCCTAGACCCCAACATAATTTCGAAATTTCTGTCCAAATCTTGCCCTGCAGAAGATCAGTTTATAATGATGAATCTGCCAAACAGTCTGTAGAATTAAATCTCTTACTTTGCCAATGAGGAATGTCTCGTTCTTGGTCTGGCCCATTCTGAGCTTGGTGATGTCAAACGACGCTGTGCCAAGTGTCTCATCCATCACATAATTGGCGTCCATTAATGTTAACTGATTGCAATAAACAACAGCAGTGTATAGTTAAATACATGTGGAGAGCTACACATCAGTTATTCTGTCATGTGTGTTTAAGGTTACTTGAACAACTATTCCTCTAACCCATTAGGTTTTGTCAGAAGCGTAAACAACAATGTATTTTTCCTTAGATGACCCCTGACTAATATACTCTGTGTTATTCTGATTGGTATGATTATACTGTTTATCTTATATCAGGCTACAAAGTTGTATTGATGTGGGTAAATGTTCCACTTCATCCCTGCTTGCCATCCTGTATTACAGTACAGGATGTACTAGACAACAAAGTGCAGTTGTAACCTTCAGGACGTTGTGCTGGTTGGGGTCTAAAATGAAGTGGAAGGTCTCATTCCATTTCGGGTTGATATCATTGTCTATGTGCTTGGTCCTCTTTCTGCTGTCTGGGGCAGTCGGGATAAACAGCTCCACATAGGGATCTGGTGTGTCCACTGCACACAAACACACACACATTCAGCAGTGTTACTGAACAGCAGAAACCCTGTACTCAGTATAAGTGCATTTGTATTGCTTTTGTGAGAAGTTCTCAGTGATCTAGAATGATTTCAGTGGACATTTTCTCCAAATAAAAATAGTTCCACACATATAGGGTAGTCTCTTATAAGCACCAGTGTTTCCCTCACTTGTGTCTTTTCCTTGCATTTCAATCCCACCCACGCTAGATACAAGGAAAACATGCAAGAGAGGACTTGAGAAACCATGTTAGTAAGGACATGAGATGTCTTTCCTTTGATCCTTCATCTGAAGCATCCAATCACCAACTAATTGCTGATAAATGGGCATGTCAGTATGTAAAAGACTTCTGCTATGTGTATCCTAATGGGCAGCCTCCTCGCTGCTCAGGGCATATAGTCATTCTGGTCGTGGGAGGATTGAGAACTGAAGAATGATCATATAAGGGACTCGGGAAGTCGGAATAAATGTAGCTGCTGTGTGCATGCACTGTTTGAAATAATATGCAACGGCATATTTGAATGTTGCAATTAATGAATAAGGGCAAAATAATTTAATTAGACTCACACAGGTCACCCAGCGCTCCCTTGGTGACGTTCTCAGCTCGAACCACTGTCACAGTGAATTTGTGAGAAAACTGCTGTTCCACCTGCAGTGCAACATTCATTCATGTCAGTTTAGCTTCATCTCATCACATGAGAAAATCACCTCAACCGCAATTATTACAAAGCGATTACAAATGAATCCCTGCAGAACACAGCTTAGTATGAGAATAACCCATATTGCATGTGAAATACAGCTTTAACACATACATAGGTTCATTCTGGATTCATGTGCCAGTCTATGGGTTTTAACGCCAGCTTTTGCATCTTCACTCAAATTGTCTGTGTTCATGCTGATTAGTAATACATTTCTACTTGCATTTGGATAGCAGAAACCTCAGTTTTTAAAAATGCACTAACCCAACCTGGGATTTACAGTGTGACTGAACCAGGCTCCAATAAAACACTACTCTTCCTAGTTGTACTTATCTAAAGGCACAGGGGAAGAAAACAAGGATATGGAGAAGAAAGACATAACAATTGGACAGCACTTGCAAGAGTGATATTTGTCAGATAGAAACCAGATTTTCTGATGAGCAAATTGTAGCTGGTAACTGTCATGAGAAAATGGCAAAAGCAATTGGATTGATTGTACTTGAACCATTACTGAAAGGAACAGGAACAGCACCACAGTGTAGTGAATCCAAAGAACATAAACCGGTAGACTAAATCTCCCATGCAGTGGACTAGCATTTAAAACCTGTTAAGGCCCCTTTAAGTACATGACTTTAATTGCTAAATGACTGAAAAGGCCCTCATTATTCCAAGATTTCAATCCTGTCTCTTTTTAACACCAGAACCTCATCATTGTGCCACAATGTGTCATCACTTTAGTAATAAAATCCATATATTTTCTCTGTTTTTCTAATAAACGTTTGATAGTTTTAATGTGCTTGTTGGTTTGTTTGTTTGTTTGCTTATTCACAGCATAAATTAAAAAGTTATACATGGGTTTTGATTAAATGTTTTGGAGAGGTAGAGAATGGCCTGTGTAGCAATCCATTACATCTTGGTGGTGATCTGAATCATTATCTGGCTCCTGAAGAAAGGATTTTTCACCATTGTGACATAGGGCTAGTTTCAATATTTTTGTTTCTTACTCAATACACAATGCCTAGAATGATTGGACGAAAAGTGCAAGATGACATCCCCATAAGATTGACCACACACCAAAGTGCGATCTTGATCAAGTAATATTCCAGATCTGCTGATCCAGAATGTTCACATTTACAGGGCTCGCTGAAAGCTGCCTACAGTGAGACATCAAATAAAGCTACAGACTTGCAACTAAGATCAAATTCTAGCTGAAACCCTGCTGACTCCGCTAAAGATTTTATGTATCCTCAGATGTTACTATGCTAGATCCTGAGGGAAGCCATCATTAGTGAAATATTGTTTTTCTTGAATAACTTTCAAAACTCTTAATGATGGGAGTATTACTTCTACACATAATGGCATTATGTAGAAACTGAGCTGCCTTGTGAGAGGTTTGCACTGAGTGCTTTCTAGTTTCTTTATGGGTTCCACATAATCATCAGTCATCAACACAATTTCCCGCCAGAATTCAGTTCTCAGTAGTCTGTCCCCTAAAATTACTCAACCTTTGAAACATAGTTTTCTTGAGGAAGGTACTTTCCTAATAAATGTCTTACTTCACTGTAAATGGGATGCTGTATTATAAAAAGGGTTAACAAACATAATAGTACACAGGTCAGTTTGTGCTCCTGTCTCTGATATAAGTTGATATATAGGAATCTTCAGAGGTTGCTGATAATGCTCCATTTGTCCTTCATAGATATCATTGAACCAACATGTTTAAGAACTTAAGTTGTTTTGCATTTTTCTGTGTTGTTTTTGTATTTGTCTCATAGCTGGTCTTTCTTCTAAAAAACTGACATTTATTAATGGTCATAGCATTTTAAAGATGTAGCCATTCATGAGGGCTATAAAGTAGCCTTAGAAGACTTATTGTGTGGCAAGTTTCACTAGAGGAGAGCCTGTTTGGTTTCAACTAACCACAAGCCTACTGATATAAAATAGCTCTACAGAGCTGTAAATGCAGATATACATATTATCTCATGTTGATCAATGCTGCTTACAACAACCCTCCTTTGCCCTCATTATGATAACAAGCATGGCCTCCCTGTTGAGATGTTTGTTGCAATATTTGCAGAGGACATTTTTGATTTGGAAATATGAACTCTGTCAGCACTCACGATTATATTGGAAGCCATTGTGCTGTCAGGTGAGTAGTTCTCAGGGACGTTTTTGTCAAGATGTGAACTTCAGCTCAGGAGGACATCTCAGTCATGAACCGAAGCATTTAAAGCCTGGAGGAGGAAACGAAGCTGAGCATTAGTAAATGAGTATAGAGGTTCTAAAATTAAAAGCACAGGTGTGACATTTAGCTGGGGTTTCTAACGATTACAATTAGCAGGGAGAAAGAAGTCTAGCCTACTTCTGACCAGCGCTTCTGCAGCATCATGAACATACAGTATGTATATGCATAGGTACAGTAAAGTCTTTAGCTTGGTGTGCGATGCGAAGAGGTGGTGCGATGATTTGTTTATTAACCAACACTCTCAATTCTCGACAAGTGCTAAGTAATTTGCTTATGGCATACAGTATCAAGGTCATCGTGCCTTTTCGCAGCTGCATCGTTACTGAAAAGCCTGAGCACGTAGAACGATTGTTTTCACAGCGCTGGTCACGTAGTTTGCACGAGTGGTCCAACTTCTCAAAAGTTCCAGTTACTGTAACTGTGACCTTATTATGCAGTGCGTGTAAGCTGCTGAGTAATGTGTGAGCCAATTCACAGCAGGAAATTTTAGTATGAGTGCGCAAAATGTGAAACAGATGCACACAACATTACCTACCACCCGTGATGCCAAACCCCTTCCAGTGATAAGTTTCTCTTCTACTTTACAGCTGTGTTTCCCACTGAGACATAAAAAACAAAGGTCGGAAATAAATCAGTCTCGGGAGATTACTTATAAGAATCACTCTAGCACGAAATATTAAAGTGAAAAGTCACTGAAGTGTAACTCTTATTACAGGCTTCAAACAAAACGTTTACGCCACTTGGGTCAGATCTGACAGCCTGATGGTACAGTATGTAGCATGCAGTTACAGAAAACATTACAGTACATATGGTGTCTTCAAAAAAAGACTGTAAAAAATAACTATTTGTGGATATAAACACTCTCTTACAGACAGTTAATTGCATCTGTTCAGTCTTAGCGCTTAATATAACCAGGATTGATATCGTGTTGTAGATCTGTGTTAGTGTTTTTCAGTTTCCTTATCCTTTAAGTTGCGTAAAGCGAGCTGTTCACGAAGACGCTGGTTTAACCAAGACTAGAACCAGTTTTTAGCCCTGACCTTCTACAAATCCCTTTACAATCGTGTCTGCAAAAAACACCATTTAGTAAAAACAGTAAAGTGTTACCGTACCTTAACCTCAGAGTGATATCAACTCACTAATCCTGAAAACTGTGTCATGCTGATCGAGAATTACATTCCATCACTGCAGGAATGGGCATGCATAGATATATAACCTACACTAGATGCAGCATGAACCACGGCTGTCTATTATGGCCGCACGTCGACGCGGCCCACACGTTCCCCGGCGCTAAGGTGCTAACGCATGTATGAGTTTGAGTTTAGGGACCTATCCACACCCAAAATCATCATAACAATGTTGTTCCCTGTTTTGTTTTTGTTTTAAGATTAAAACATCCAAAAACAGCAGAGTAGTGTGGTGTTTTCCACTATTAAATCCGGAAAACAGACCAGACTGCCCCTGGCAATATGGCGGCTGGTGAGACGCACTTCAGAAGCCCCGATGCGACATCTAGTGTATATTTTATCTATGAGGAGGTGCTACTCGGCAGTCAGGACAGTCGCACCTTATACTTAGAGTTGAGGACATAATCACACAAACACGAAATTCACCGTGATCACAAGCTTGTGTTTAACATAATGGTTGAAAGACTAATGAAAAAAGCTCCGTGCAAAAGTCAGATTTTGACTTAGCTCTCCAAATGCGCATCAGTGCGCAAGCGATGTCGACATAACGGTGCGTAAAGACATTGTGTTGACAGGATATACAACATTTTTTGAAATATTTAGATTATGACACAGGAGGTGACGCTAAGCTTATTAGTCCACACTTTCGTGTTTGCGGTAATCAATGGATAATATCTAGCCCAGTGTTTCAGCCAAATATTGATTATAAGACACTGTGTTTAATGGATGGGTTTGACACAGCTTTTATTACTTTTATAAAAATGTATGTGCCATCAAATGTTCCGAAGAAGCCCTGTTATAAGCAATCATTCCTTTAGACAGTGAAGGTTAAGTGCTGTGACTGCAGTGCCCACAGAGATCCACGTATCTATACGTTTGATATAAGCTCTTAATCATGTTAACCCTGTAAAGCCTGACACATCAGCCAGAACTGAGATATTTATTAAACCTTTTAACAAAATCCAAAATATAATTCATGATTCGAAGTTCAATATTCACGATTTTTGTTTGCCATATATGCATAGACAGACAGTCCAGGCATATAGGAATAGGTTGCCATATTATTTTGATTATTTCTATTTCTTTTGTATCACATTTGATACATGGAGCATTTTTGGTGATTTTTTTTTTTTTTTTTTTGCTCAGAAACCTCAGTATCAAATATGATACAAATGGTTTTAATTTCTCCATGTCTTGTAGAATTACATTAATAAGTACATCATTGAGTACAAATAATGCATTTGTGTATTTGTTATGTTTTTGTCTTGATAAATTACACATCTCTTTTGTTAAATGTTATCTTGAATTATAGTCATCCTCATGTTGTAGTCTATATAATTAAGACGTCCAGGGGGCATTCGTCTTTTTTAAGCATTAATGTTGTAAAAGTAAACGCCTTATTGACGTGAATTGAAATGGTAAAAAGACAATAATGTCCGTTTCTGTGAAATTAATTCTTTACAACTTGTTGTTTGCATGGGTATAATATCCCTGGAATAAAGAAGGTGAAGGAAATCGGGGAAAGAGCCGAAAAAGGTCCGAGGTGATTGTGTAAGAGTGTGTATTCCTTCCTGCCGTTGCAGATTTTAACTACAGTATGCTGACGTCACGCGCTCCACATATAAAGTAGCTGCTATGCGCGGACTTTGGACTCGCAACTTCAGAGCGACACGACTGCGAAGGATTGAGAGGGAAAGAAGCAGAAGAAGCGCTGATCAAGTCTTTGGAGTATGAACAGACTTACATTTAAAGTTCTCCTGTTGGCACTGGGCTTTCTGGTCTGCGAAGGAGGTAAGTAGATGAAACACCAGATTGTTTCTCTAATTGTTTTAATTTTGGGGCTTCTACTATTTTGTCTCTTTATTTCAGAAGGCTTTGCAGTTACTGTAAAGAAAGCATAAACTGTTACAATGAATACAAAAATAAAACCCCATTAAACACAGTTCACATATATGGCCCAACAAATAGTGCAGTGCTTTTGTGGTTTTAATGATACTTTGAAACTTTTCTAACATTTTTGCTGATATCTAAAGAAAAGTGAATTCATAGTAACAGTCTACCATGTGTTACAGGTAACCCGTGCTGCTCAGAGCCATGCCAGAATAGGGGCGTATGCACAGCACTGGGAGCAGATGATTACGAGTGTGATTGCACACGTACAGGATATTATGGGCAAAACTGCACAACACGTAAGTATGAATAAAACAATATTTTAAGTGAGCCTAAAATTAGGAGTCGTTTCATGTATTGATTTTCTTCAGTTGATTCACTTTCTCTCTTGGTTTTTACAGCTGAGTTTCTCACCTGGATCAAAGTCACCCTGAAGCCATCACCCAACACTGTCCACTACCTTCTCACCCACTTCAAGGGCTTCTGGAACATCATCAACAACATCTCATTTCTCCAGGATGCCATCATGAGATATGTGCTGACAAGTAAGTCTCTCACTGAAGACAAAAAGAGAAGACAGATTAGATTCATAGCACATTAAGTTATTTGTAGAGAAGCAGTTGTAGTGTTTATACTAATAATTATGTTTTTTTTTTTCTCTTTAGCCCGATCACACTTGATTGACAGTCCCCCAACTTACAATGCAGATTATGGTTACAAAAGCTGGGAAGCCTATTCCAACCTTTCCTACTATACGCGTACCCTCCCACCTGTGCCGCAGGATTGCCCAACCCCTATGGGAGTAGTAGGTGAGTACATGTTCTACTTTTGGAGAACCAGTATTTTTAGATTCTTGAATACTGAGCAAGAGCAGCTTGGCCCATTTACATAACAGAAAGTGTAGACCTTCAAATGATTCCTTCTGTTAGATTGATGGAATGGAAATATGCTGAGGTAACACAACAAAACCTGCCCCAGGAAGAGGAAACGAAAGCCATGAAACCTCCTTGTTCTAATTGTACACTGAACATGTCTTAGGAATTTAGAGTGAAAGTAAACTTTGTTTCTAGCCTTTCCTACATGTAAAAGGATATCCTTGTACTTCACGCACATAAACCTGATTGATTCTGTATTCTGCATAATGTTGAGTTCTTACAGTAGTGGTCTTAATTGTTTCTACAGGAAACAAGGAGCTGCCTGATGTTAAAGTTTTGGCTGAGAAGCTTCTGGTGAGGAGACAGTTTATCCCAGACCCGCAGAGAACCAGCCTGATGTTTGCATTTTTTGCACAGCACTTCACTCACCAGTTCTTCAAAACGGATATGAAGAAAGGACCTGCCTTCACCCAGTCTAAAGGCCATGGGGTGAGCAGAACAGATTTCTGACTATATCGGATGTTATTCAATAAAAGGAGCGCATTTGTGATTGATAAGTTAAAATACACATGTTAATAGTGTTGTTTTATTATTTCAGGTGGACCTCAGCCACATTTATGGAGAAGACCTGGAGAAGCAGCACAAGCTCAGACTCTTCAAGGATGGAAAGCTCAAATATCAGGTATGAGAAGAGACAGATGTAACTCAGACATCCACAAACTTCAGATCACACAGGTGTCTAACATTTTCTTCCTCTCTTGTGTAACTCTGCAGATCCTGGATGGAGATATGTACCCCCCAACAGTACAGGAAGTGGGGGTTGATATGTTCTACCCCCCTCATGTCCCCGACTCTCACCGCTTCGCCGTGGGCCACGAGGCGTTCGGCCTGGTCCCTGGTCTCATGATGTATGCCACCATTTGGCTGCGGGAACACAACCGGGTGTGTGACGTGTTGAAGGAGGTGCACCCTGACTGGGACGATGAAAGACTCTTCCAGACCACACGGCTCATTATGATTGGTGAGTTTTAGATAAACTTTGTGACATCTACACAAAACCTTTAACAACATTTGCTGGGAAAGTAATAATATGGTATTAATGTAGTTATAATGTGAATAGGGGAAGTTATTTTAGCAATCAAGTCGCCCAAGAAAACCCTGTTGCACACAATGGGGTATTTCAAGAGGAGGAATTACTGAAATACATGAGAATTTATTTTCAATATCATAAAGAGAAAATGCTTTTATTTTATTTCAGCATTTCACTGCATGTCTAACCAACTAGTACAAACAAGTCATGTTCATTTCTGTGTGAAGTGGAACTTTAAACATCTGTAAAATCTGCATCATATAATATATTCTTTTATTTTCTAGGTGAGACCATCAAGATTGTGATTGAAGACTATGTGCAGCACCTGAGTGGCTATCACTTCAAACTCAAGTTTGATCCCCAGCTGCTCTTCAAGGAGCGTTTCCAGTACCAGAATCGCATTGCATCTGAGTTCAACACCCTGTACCACTGGCACCCGCTGATGCCTGATAGTTTCCACATTGAGGAGAAAGAGTACAACTACAAACAGTTTATGTTCAACATGTCGGTAGTGACTGAGCACGGCATCAACAACCTGGTGGATTCGTTTACTAAGCAGATTGCAGGACGGGTGAGAACTCTTACTGCTCTTTTAGCAGTATTTAAACTGAGATTGTAACACTGCTGTTGTTAAAAGCTATGTTAATGATTTTTTCATTCATTCCTTAGGTTGCTGGTGGCCGAAATGTCCCAGGAGCTGTTTTGTACGTGGCCATTAAGTCCGTAGAGCACAGCAGAAAAATGCGTTACCAGTCTCTGAATGCCTACAGGAAGCGATTCTCCATGATGCCCTACAAGTCTTTTGAAGACATGACAGGTGAGACAAAGTGATGATCACTTACAAAATCTAGTTGTAGCTGGAAAGGATGACATCAGAGGATTAGTGAAGAGGTTATTATTGCTATGAAGTGAAAGGAAATGTTGGCCAAGTTATTGCTGCTTGATTAATAGTATTGGCATTAACTGTTTATGGGAATTAAATGCCAGTTTGAAGAATGTATTAAAAATTTACAAATTATAAGAACAAAGCTAGTTTACTTATTATTAAAGAAATGGCTCGAGTGAAGGTTTAGTCCTAAACAGCTTTCGAGGGTAGGAATTTATTTTTTTAGCTCAAGAAACCAGATGTTCCTTTCATCATGAGATAGCATAAGCAGATTGTCATCACAAAGAGCAAGACATAAACAGACAAGAAAGGCCTCCTGCTTTAGCGGAGGAGATTTAAATTTGATAAGAAAAGATGCTTTAATTAAACAGTAGCTGTGATGTTTAATAAAGAAAACATTTGTGTGTGTATGCCTGTGAGAGAAATGACAAGATGCAAAACAGCTGGATTTAAATCAAAACACAGAGCTCATATTTAGACTAGCTTTGCAGCTGCTGAGCCAGTGAGAGAAGCCAGACTGAGATGCCAAATAAAACCAGTTCTCCATTTGTGTTACTTAGGAGATAAAGAAATGGCCGCAATACTGAAGGAGATGTACGGACATGTCGATGCTGTGGAGCTCTACCCAGGCTTGCTGGTGGAGAAACCAAGGCCCAACGGCATCTTTGGGGAGACCATGGTGGAGATGGGGGCACCTTTCTCCCTCAAGGGCTTAATGGGAAACCCCATCTGCTCCCCAGAGTACTGGAAGCCCAGCACCTTTGGAGGCAGCGTGGGCTTTGACATCGTCAACACCGCTTCCCTGCAAAAGCTCGTCTGCAATAACGTGCGGGGCTCCTGTCCTGTGGCGTCCTTTTACGTGCCTGACGTAAAAGACACAGGGTCCATGATCAACTCAAGCACATCCCACTCAGAAAGCAGTGACATCAACCCCACTGTCATCCTAAAAGAACGGACTACAGAGCTCTAACCCTTTAAAATTTTATTGGTTATATTTATATATGTGTGTGTGTGTGTGTGTGTGTGTGTGTGTGTCTATTTATTTTATTTTGTATTTATTGATAATTCTATTTATAGTATAATATGAAAGTGCAAAAGGCATTTTTATGAGGAATTTTTTATATTTTTGACTGGTTAACATGAACAAAAACCTGTGGTTGTTTATTTATTAAAATATTCATTGTATTATAACTTATTCTTACAGTAATGACCTCAGTCGCTGCAACTTGATACTTGAATTAGAGACTATTACATTCCACTCCTCAGTTTAACTGCTGCTCTTCCATTTATGTTCAGGTTGTATTCAGCTGTATGACTGTCCCAGGGGTGATCTGTTTTACAGGCAGTGATACAGTAGCACAGCATAGTAGTGATGTTCATAGTGAATTATATGACTGATCTGACTCTCTCTCTGTCTGATATAAGGTATGGTAAATTGTATTCTTGTTTCAGTATTTTTATTTTTTTACTGATATTTTATACTTCAGTTTGTGTATTGGCTTGGGTAATTGGAAATAGCATTAATTACTGTGTCTAACCTGCACTATTGATCAGAATTGTGTTGTTTTAAAGAAATTGTTTCATGTGATTATATAGGATTGAAATAGCTATGCAATTTGTTTTTTTTCAATGCCTATTGACTTGCAAGATTGACACTAATAAATATTGCCAAGAAATGGTGAACGTTTCTCAGAAATCAGCTGGCGTTGTTGTCATTTTCACTTAGTGACTTCGTTTGTGCTTTTTTATAAACTCAGTGCTCCAGAGGAGACGGACTTTTCTTTTAAAAAAAAAAAGTATCATCCAAATATTGGATAAGTGTAACACATTCTACTGACAGAAGATGTCAGTGGTGATATAAGTGCGATCTTGACAAAGATTAGTAGTTTTTGTCAAGATCGTGTTTCTTAGGTTGAGGGTATGACAGTAGCAACAGACAAATCCAAAATACAGTATACTGTAGAGGTAGACAATAAAGGTTACAATATAGGCCTTTGGTCCTCTGACAAAAGTCAATAAAACACTGCTGTGAAAAACTCAGTTTGTTAAATCTCCCACATCTAATGTAGGTGTGATATACGGTTATTTAAATCAATTTCCTTTGATGTATTTCCAAATTAGTTTTCTGTGTTTTGGCCCTGGGGAATAGGAGGGCAAGATAAATCTGTTAAAACAAATTTGGACTAAATTGTCTCAAGGCAGAAGGATCGTTTTCATGATTTTAGGTGGAAGGTGAATTAGTGTTCCTTCAAATAATGATGCCAAAACTGCATCGCATGATAGTTCTGTTTTATATTTTTATTTATAACATCAACTAGTAATTGGATTTACTGATGTAAAAACATTTAAGGGTAATACAGAATAATTTACATTTACAATTTATTATTTTACAGTCTGAAACCTCTGTAACTTATTGACGTATTGGTGACATACTTACAGACTGTATGTCACCAGAATGGTTGTACTTCAGTTCAGTCGTGCTTGATGCGTACATACAAAATGAAAAACAAATTAGGAGATCACTGATCTTTAGTGTTTAGTCAGTCTTTTAAATGTGAGGTAATCATCATTTTAAAGAGTCGTGTGCAAATTAATTACCAATGCATTATTTTGAACTACTTAAAATGTCTATCACTGTCATGATTGCACAATTCAACCTCCATATGTATGACACTTCAAAAGTTGTGAAAACAAAGAATATTTTCAGGAGAACTTGAAATTGAGTGTGCTGTGCTACAGCACCTGAATAGTCATTTCCTCTTGTTTATACAGATACATTACAGCCAAGTCACAAAAATTGTGACACTCAAGGATGTAGGTAAGAGTTTCCTGGTTATCGACCTCTGAATCACTGCCAGTATCTCAGGTTTGTTCAGTGATTCAAATAGAATGAATGAAGTGAAACAAACAGACATCTTGGCTGTGGTTCAGGAGGTACAGCGGGTTGTCCCCTAACTGTAGGGTTGGCGGTTCAATCCCTGGCTTCTCCAGTCCATGTGTCAAAGCGTTCTCGAACAAGACAGCGAACCTCTAGTTGCTCACAGTGACATCACCGGTGTCTGAATGTGTGAGTTTGTATGGATGAATGAGAAATAATGTAAAGTGCTTTGAGTGTCCATCAGCGTGTAGAAAAGTGCTATGTAAGTGTAGGACTATTTACCATCTCAGTCAAGTAAGACAATATCTCACAGAAGACCATAAGATGTGGTCAAAACCTCTGAAAATAAAAAAGCTGTGATAGACCTTAAAATCACTTTTTCTACTGATGTTCTCATGAGCAAGAAAGACCTTCACACTCAGTATAAATGTAGTTATGTACACACATTGTATGTACAAACACATTTCTGTGAAACTGCAAGTGAACAACAGAGGATATTGTACAGAAAAACAAATAACATGACAGATCTCTTATCTTAATAATAAGATAAATGGTGATATGTGTATTTCAACCTCAACTCTTTTAGGAGAACTTAAAAGGCCGTTGTTTTAACTTAACCTTCCAAACCTAACCCTTCCACCCTCTCAACACCACTTTGCACATCTGAAGAGCTTTCACTTTTCAGCACATCAGAGAAAACAAGTAGACGCTTGCTAGGCTCGAGCTGTGAGGTAACACAGTATGCAGATAAGCTATGGTGGGAAAATCCTGTTGAAGAGAAACAGATTGAAGTTTTCTCACTGAAACCTTCCAATAATGTCCCAGTTAATTATGGAAAAGAATTTTATCGGTCCACATTCCTGAGGTAAATTCAGTATTGTGAGCAATGCTACAGTATATTTCAAGCAACAGTTTCTGTGTATTGTTTCAGTTTTAATATTAATGCACTGGATTTTGTATTACTAACACTGCACATGGTATAAATATCAAAAAGGAAATGGGGAGATTACTGCAGGCTATGGTATGAACATCCCTAAAACTTTCCAATCTTTGATGTATACTTTGGAAAAGGCCAAGAGGTATAAATCATTTTCCTGTATGTGGGGTGTAATCATTACTTCCCAGTCCTGCAGGTTACAGGAAACCTTGCCTCAGCAGTAAAGACTGGCAGTGCAATGGAAGAATTATATTATTTTTATGGTACCCATTCCAAAGCAGACATGGTGGAAGGAATGTTGACATGACTGACTGCACACAATAGTGAGTCAGGCTCCCAGGCATGATCCATTCAAAACACAGACAATGACAAATTAAATTTTCCCATCCATTCACACATTTCACATAAGCGATACAGCGAGCACATCTACTTTCTCCCCTTACACGGGACGATTAAACACAAAACCACATGCAAGCAAGAAAAATACATTAAGTCTTGTGCATCTGATGTTATCTCAGCTGAATGAGATGGATAGTTCCTCCTCCACTTCATAATCATCACTCTGTGCTCCAAAGTACCAGGGCTCCCTATCAGAGGGACCCAGCTTTTCATGGCATGAAAATTGTGTGTGCACATTATTTGTTTTCCTCACTGTCATTTGTCTGAGGGTGAAAATTATTATTCCATTGTGAGTCTGTGTGTGGCATTCTCAGGTCTTGATTTATGAGATCGAGCAGGGGAACACATCTTGCGTTGTGTGGGTGTAATGACCATGAACAGACTGTGGGCCCTGGTGTGGGAGAAGATCAGGAGACTTCGCTTTGAGTTTTTCTTCTGATTGTTTCTCGACCTGTCTGGAACCAAATCTGGTGTGGAGGCTGTGATACAAAACCAGACCTCCATGACTCCTTGCAGGTGGCACAAAGTGGGCGCACGGTCACGTCCGCTCATGAAACACTGGCACAGATCCAGTTGTTAGTTAAATAAGTTTAATTGACATAATCACTAACGTAGATTAGCTGTGATTATACATCTTTTTGCAGTGACCTTGTTGAAAGAAAATAAGGATTCTGCAAACACTGCTACTCTCACAGTGTTGTTTTTGAATAGCAGGCAGCTGTTTTCACTACCTGCTCAGCACTGAATAATAGACTGACAAAGTTAGCAGCTAGATGGTGAGCATACAGTAGTACAGCAATTTGCAGCAAAAGAGCCTGAAAGATCCCTTAGGAGTTGATAATGAGCAAAAGCAGAGCTAAAGGTAGAGTGAGTCTAGTTTCAATTCTTCCACTTGGCCGCGACCAGGACCACAAATGAATGATGATTGTTCTCCAAAAAGGAATAACAGCTTGCTCATGCAGCAGGACAGTATGAAAGTCCACTGCTTGCGATGAATGGTCATCCTGCCAGTGAGTGTTCACATGTAGGGGGGATAGCTTGGGAAAATCCATCTTGTCCAAGGGGAATCTTTGAAAAGCTTTTATGACCAATCGTCAAAAGCCCAAAGATATTTAACTTGCAGTGTTATAAAGCAGAAAAAAAACAACCAATCGTTGCATCAAAAAAGCTGGAAACAGAAAATGTTTGATGTTTTTGCTTGAGAAATGATTATCAAATTACTTGAAGATTAGGCACACCAAGCCCACAGTCAGCCACTATTGAACCATTGATGTGTGAATAATGTGTGTTAAAAGCTTTGGGTGAATGTCAGCTTTTGCAGGGCAAATAAAGTGTTGTGTTGCACTGTAAAGTGATGTGGCAGTTGCTCTTACTGTGCTGAGAACTGTTAAGTGTTTTGGAAAATGTGTGTAATTCAATTAAGAAGAACTACTAATTATAGACTAAATGATAGTGGCTGCAGCTCTACTCATCTATGCAGTGTGGAGCTATGATATCCTGATACAGTATCTGAGAGTGAATCTCTACCTTGATGATTGTTGTTAGTGAAACTCAACTGCCACAAAGTCTGTCACTGTCGATGATGCCATGCTTTTAATGTCGATAGTTTCACTTGAGTTTTGACACACTCAGACTCATAAATGTTTTTCATATTTTCACAGGCACCGTGGTTTAGGTCATAGGGACTGTCATAAGGAAAAGCCCCAGGCATATGTCAGATGATAGTCAGATAAGATTCCAATCAAAACCCACACTCACAACATGGTTGCTCTTTGG